GAGAGAGAGAGAGAATGTGAGACTCGCCAATTTGTCACGTGACTGTTGATGAACTCTGATTGGTTGGAATATGGATATCAAATCTATATATGGGTCTGTTCTTTTTAGCTGAACTGGCTGCACTAGTTCAGAGTTTATCTTTCTTTTTTCAGTGTAAGATTTTTACAGTTTTCTTTTTTAAATTTCAAAATTTTTTGATATTTAAAAGTGAGGGCATTATATTATGATATGTTCACGTGAACACGTATATGTCTCATGTAGTTTCCCATATGTGTGACACTAAAAACAAACGATTTTTCCTTTTTCTTGTTTCTCATGCTCAGAAAGGTATTTTGGACTGCGTTCAGATATTTTCTGCGTCCATGGATAGTATTACAAGTATTTTAAAATCTTTTTGGGATGCAAAGAATAAGGGGGAGGATATTATAAGCATATTTAAATTACATTCTCTAAACACATACAATGTTTATTCGTCACATTTGTAACATAAAACAAAAAACAAAGATATAAAAACAACATGTAAGAATAAAATAACGAGTAACGATATTTATATATACATTGTGATGAAAAACACACATTGAAGATTTAACTCAGACTAGAGGTAAAGAGAGAAAAAAGTATTCTTAACTTTTGCCGTAAGTCAAAAATGTATAACAAAAACTTGATCGATATTCTACGGAATAAGACAAGATCCTGATTTTGTTAAATGCATCAGAACGATACACCATTCGATTTCACATTATTATGCTTGCATTATTAAAAGTAATGTGAAATCGAGTTGTTTTATTGTATCGATGCACGCAAAAGTTTTATACATACGCATGTATATTCTCTCAAGAATGCTAACTTTCCGTTTCCGACAACAGTTCAAATAAAAGTGCATTGTTATTCTACATACCTTCTACGACGTATGGCTTATTCGTGTAGAAAATTTGTTATATACTTAATATTTTTTTGTGACTTTTAACATTTAATTGCAACAATTTCTAATCTCTGTGAACATTCTTAATATCTTTATAAAAATTTTTATAAATAATTGTTCAACATAGTTACTCTGAAATATTTCAATGCTACTTATGTAACAGTTAAAATAAATGTCTAAATAATTAAACAGCATATTCGATATTGTTTAAAATGAACAATAAAATAAAAACACAAATTTTATTTGAAATTTGTATATGAAAGTACTAGTGTTATCGTATTCAGAAAATTATCGAGATAAAAGATTCCATACGCCTCAGATCACGGTTATCATATCGATTATTTTAAAGCTATCTTTAACGTTTCTCGAAAATTATCGATAATTTTTAATTTTTGGAAGGATCCTCTTAATGTCCTGACCAATCTCCGCCGCCCCCAAAACCACCACCTCCGAAATCGTGTCCTCCACCGCCACCTCCGAAGTCATGTCCGCCGCTGATACCTCCTAAATCGTGGCCGCCACCACCACCTCCGAAATCATGACCGCCCCCAAAGCCGCCACCGCCGCCGCCGTGTCCCCCGAGGTCAATGGGATGACCCACGGTATATCCAAGTACTTCGTACTTGTCCTCGCCGCCGCCGTGGTGTATGTGTTTCGTGATCGTGTGTGTGTGTTTGATGGTCTTGATCTTGTACGGTACGTGGATTATTACGTGATCGCTAAAAAAAGATGCGAATATCAAAGATTCTGAGTGGAAACATTGGAAATCGCGCACGTGCAGTATTTTATCGACACACGATATAGGCTTATATTTAGACGTTCCACTTTCTCATCCCCGATCGCGATCGATTGATTATCAATAATGAGATTAGTTTAAACTTACTGCCCACCGCCGTGTCCGCCTGCGTTGGCTAAACTAAACAGCGCGGCGATTAAGAGAAGAGTCAACTGAAAATAATAATTGTCTGATCAAAATTATTAATAA